GCTTACTGTAATTCTTCATCATCAGTACACAAAATGCATACAAACTAAATGGTTAAGTCCATGATCAGAATTACAACTTGCATCAATCAAAAAACGATTTGTTTCTGCCATAAATCCGAAGAAAATCCGAAGATTACAAATGGTAATTACAAATCATGTGCGTTCAACTCATAAATCCAAAGATTCCGACACATGACTTGAATGCAGCAATTGCTAAACAATGTAAAAAAAAAAAAAAAACATGGAACACGCGTTCACAGGTATACATCTATCAATGGATTTAATATGGTTCATGCAAACCAAATTCAGAGTCAAAACTATCCGTTTATAACTAGGCTTGAATAATCTGCAACCACTGGGAGCTGAACTCACAACTTTCCAGGTGGTGGCCCACTTATCCAACCGGAGGGAAGCATCTCCCTCCATCATTCTCTTGACATATCTCTCCCTCTCTCAATGTGTTAGCCTTTAGCACTTTCACTCCTAGCAGATGATTACCAACACAACGTGAAGTGTCGAAGTGGCCCCAGGGGCCCCTGACCGTAACACTGTGCCTTGAATTCTGGAAGATAAGAGACTCATGCACATAAACAAGTACACACACACACACAAACTTGTGCCTGGAGCACTTGGTTCTTTGTTAATCTCATGAGTACACACACACACACACACACACACAGAGCGAAGGGCCAAAGGGCCTGACTACACATAACCAGATTTGATGGAACTAGTGTCAAAGTGAAACACCCTGCCATATTCTGCCCTTTTCTTTCCTTTCTGCACTTCCCTCTCTGTTTTTTTCTCTTTTATCTCACTCACAACATCATGTAAAGAGGAGGACAAGGTTCGTTGCTCTTCGGTCACATTTTCTCTGCCTAAACCGAAATGACAGTCGAGGCTTACGGGCCTTTTATAGAGAGGTTTTCTTTTTTTCTTTTCATTGCCATGCCGGAATGTCGCCATAAGGCAACGTGAGTTTAACATGCTCTACTTTTCACTGAGAAAAAATAAAATAAAAATCATGACAAGACTAAGATTGAGTCTCCTGCTGTCTAGAGGAGATAAATCATGAAAAAATAATTAAACTAACATTTTACTCTGGTGAAGGTCTTCATCATGCTAAATGAAATTGAGCTGATTTCATTGCAGTCAATATTGCATCAGAAAGCTGTTTTTATAAGTACTAAACTCAAACTTACAGTAGTAGAAAACAACAACCAATAATATCAATACAGAGAATATAAGCAGCTGTCTAGGGATTCAAAACATATATATATATATACAAACATACATTATATATATATATATATACACTCACCGGCCACTTTATTAGGTACCCCATGCTAGTAACGGGTTGGACCCCCTTTTGCCTTCAGAACTGCCTCAATTCTTCGTGGCATAGATTCAACAAGGTGCTGGAAGCATTCCTCAGGGAGTTTGGTCCATATTGACATGATGGCATCACACAGTTGCCGCAGATTTGTCGGCTGCACATCCATGATGCGAATCTCCCGTTCCACCACATCCCAAAGATGCTCTATTGGGTTGAGATCTGGTGACTGTGGAGGCCATTTTAGTACAGTGAACTCATTGTCATGTTCAAGAAACCAATTTGAAATGATTAGAGCTTTGTGACATGGTGGAAGTAGCCATCAGAGGATGGGTACATGGTGGCCATAAAGGGATGGACATGGTCAGAAACAATGCTCAGGTAGGCCGTGGCATTTAAACGATGCCCAATTGGCACTAAGGGGCCTAAAGTGTGCCAGGAAAACATCCCCCACACCATTACACCACCACCACCAGCCTGCACAGTGGTAACAAGGCATGATGGTTCCATGTTCTCATTCTGTTTACGCCAAATTCTGACTCTAACATCTGAATGTCTCAACAGAAATCGAGACTCATCAGACCAGGCAACATTTTTCCAGTCTTCAACTGTTCAATTTTGGTGAGCTCTTGCAAATTGTAGCCTCTTTTTCCTATTTGTAGTGGAGATGAGTGGTACCCGGTGGAGTCTTCTGCTGTTGTAGCCCATCCGCCTCAAGGTTGTGCGTGTTGTGGCTTCACAAATGCTTTGCTGCATACCTCGGTTGTAACGAGTGGTTATTTCAGTCACTGTTGCCCTTCTATCAGCTCGAACCAGTCTGGCCATTCTCCTCTGACCTCTGGCATCAACAAGGCATTTCCGCCCACAGAACTGCCGCTCACTGGATGTTTTTTCTTTTTCGGACCATTCTCTGTAAACCCTAGAGACGGTTGTGCGTGAAAATCCCAGTAGATTAGCAGTTTCTGAAATACTCAGACCAGCCCTTCTGGCACCAACAATCATGCCACGTTCAAAGTCACTCAAATCAACTTTCTTCCCCATACTGATGCTCGGTTTGAACTGCAGGAGATTGTCTTGACCATGTCTACATGCCTAAATGCACTGAGTTGCCGCCATGTGATTGGCTGCTTAGAAATTAAGTGTTAACGAGCAGTTGGACAGGTGTACCTAATAAAGTGGCCGGTGAGTGTATATATTTGGGGTCAGTAAGTTTTCATCTATTCTATAAAATAAATTAATTCTCTTCAGCAAGGATGCATTAAATAATATAAAAGTGAGAGTACAAATGTTTTGGATCATGTGACACTGAAGATTGGAGTAATGATGCTGACCCTTCTAACAGCTAGAAATTCTAGAAAATTATCTATTTCCCTTTGCAAATGGACAAAAAATAAAAGAGGTTGAGTGCTGACTGCATGACAGAATGAGTCCTGAAAACTTTAAACTCTCGTCTCTTCATACTGACAAAACATATGAAATAAATAACCTGGCGGCAGTCGTTACCTGACATTCTTAGGTGACAGGTAATGTCAGCTTTTATGTGTCTGTATATGTGTGTGTGTGTGTATGTACATACAAACAAACATTTGAACATCTGATGAAAAGTGAGCTTTGTCATGCATAAATAGCGATCCTGTGACATGTTGCTTGACATGCCTGCGGAAATTTAGCATATAAAATGCACTGCTGCTTTTGAATATTTCACAAGGGTATACAACACTTTTTCTTTCTTTTTTTTCTCTCAGCTCCAGTGTCAAGTGTATACTGCACTTTCGCATAAAGAAGTACAGGGAATATATTTATAGAGAATATGATTATCTTTAGAATGAGAACAGTAAATCAATGAATCCCTGCAATTTCCAAAGCTTATTTTCATCCATAAGACCACAATATACAAGGAATAAAAAACAGTTTATTTCAGGGTTTTGTTATTTCTCTGTGTAATGTATTTATCTAAGAATAAAAGGTGGGAAAGTATGTTTTAAAAAGAAGATTATGAGCCTATGTTTGTAAAATGGGATTCACGTACCTAATAAAACGCCTGTCCGTGCATAACTCTTCACATATTGATAATTTGAATGTTCCCACACACAATACAATCATTATGGAAATCTTATGAATGCATAAAACTGTTCTAATGAAGCAAAAAATAAAGATCTTGGGGATAGTTAATCTCCTCTAAGCTAATTCTATTAAAAAATGTGTACCTTCTAAGACCAGAAAAACACTCTCAACCAGGGGTTTTAAAACTTTTTGATACCAAGGGCCCCCAAATGTGAAAATACATAAAGCAGCTCTATTTTTTTCATGTATAAAAACTAGAGATTCACCGATACTAAATTTATCTGCCGATAGCCAATTTTTCACAATGATATCTGTCGATGCAGATATTTTGATTTTCTTAAGGGGGGGGGGGGGGGACTCTCCCAAATAATGCTGCAAACTATACAGGATACCCTCTCATTTGGTACATTACTATAATATTAGAGGTTAAAATGAACAACAGAGCTATTATATTCAACTGGTATTTATTTTATGATATAATAATTACTCTCAAATAAAAACTGAAATGTTTGTATGCAACTCGGTTGCACATAAGGTCGTTTTCATAAATGCTTGTCTTTATGATAAATTTATTCAAGTATACAAATATAATTAACAGTAAATAAGATAAGATTTTCTTCACACCCAGTATGAGTTGCAGTCTGAACACATTTTCCCTCTTTTGATTGATAAAAGCTTAATTGGCCGATAGAAAAAATAAAAGATTTTATGATACCGATTATTAGCCGATATATCAGTGCATCTCTAATAAAAAAACATTTACAATGAGTATATATATAAAAATATATGCAATAATAAAATAATAACGAACAATTAATCTCATTATTTGTATTAAATATTACTATTACCAAATGTGAATAAAAAAAATCATTGTGATTTAAGAATTTCTGTGGACCCCTTAGCACCAGTTTGCAGGCCTCAGTTTGAAAACCCCTGCTCTACACAATTCTGCAATTCAATTGCTAGTATGGCGTCCAGTTGTACATGATTTCATGTTACTGGTGGTAGCAAACCTAAGTACTCCTGGGGGCAGACTATCTACAAATGCCAGGTAGCTAGCTGTAAATATGTTGACAGTTTAACAAATACGCGGAGCAAGAATCTTATCAAACGGTTGCTCTGCCTTGAAATAGGTTAACCAGAACCAACTCTATAGGCCAGTATATTAGCATTAATGCCCACTATGGCGGCCCTTGCGACAACACTGTGAAAATCAAGCTTGTGTAACCAGAAGCATACGAGTTGTACTCATGTCTCAATGGAAACCAAATAAAACCTAATCAAATTCTATCAATGGCTTTCAGACAAGCTTTAACCAATGACCACAGCCGACTGTAGAACAAGACATCGTCAGTGACACTTTAAACTACCCAAGCACTGAAAATAAAATAGCCATAAATTTAAAGAAAGGCTCATTTACCCAAGGTGCAACGGGACACCTTTTACCATTTAATCAGTCAGTCACCCAAGAGTGATGTCCCTAATATCATGATTTGACCATTTCTCTGTTTAACATAATTAAAATATCCGCTGCCGGGGCCATAAACGGGAGGAGAGGATACTGTAATTCTGCCGTAAAGCCGCAGAGCGTGAAAATGTCACTTACCGAGTACCCTCGTCCTGACAGAGAGTGAGTGGAGCTCTGGGGGAGAGAAAGAGAGAGAGAGAGAGACAAAGAAAGAGAGAACAACGTTGACCTTTGAGGGATACTATGAGATGACAGAGACATGATAAAGTTCTAGCACTTTAATATCAATATTCACATTAACCTTTTTCCCACCCTTCGTTTCTCTCGTTCTCCTAATGACACTCCTTATTCCTCCCCCTCTCCCTCTCCCTCTCCCTCTTTCTCTCTCTTCAAGATTTGCTAGAACACATGACTCATATGACTCGAGCACAATACAGCCCTGGACAAATTAGCCGTCTGGTCTCCCAAGGCCTTTTCTTTTCAGCAAGACCTTGGGATTATCTTAGCAGAATGAGCTTTTAGCAGTTTATCAAAAAAAAAGAAAAGAAAAAAAGATTGCGATAGAAAAGATTGACAAGTTGACAAAGATTTTTTACATTTTCAGACAAAAAAAAAATGTATGCAGTTACTAAGGTTTTCAGTGGCTTGCCATGTGATCGCTAAGGTATTTTGGTTGCTAGGATGTTTCTATGTGGTTGCTAGGGTGATATAGCTAGTCGCAAGAGTGTTGCTAGGTTTATAAAGCTGGTTGCTAGGGGGTTCTAGGTGGTTGCTTACTAATTTGGTCTGAAGATGGCTTAGACCCACCTAAATATACTTTTTTACCTGGTAATGGCATAATGGAACACTTCTCTTCAGAAAAAGTCACATGATTTCATCACTGGTTTCATCATCTTTCATGTAGCACAAGCAGTTTAATGTGATACTTAATCCCTGAACAAACCCCTAACTCTTGAGCAATAATAGCTCATAGTAATAAAAAAGATTTTACAAAAAAACATTTTTCAACATTTAAGTCGTTCAGTTGTGTACTCTGCATTCAAGTAAACATTCTGGCATTAACTCAGCAATAAAGAGCAGTCAGATGATTCTTGCACACCAGGTTACATCATTTTCAAGAAATGTGTCATAGATTGTCATCATAAAGGAAATGACATTTCAGATCAGACCCAAGACACCCAGCATTTGCATCAATTTTCCATGCTGTTGCATCAGCCCTTGTCTGTTTATAGCAAATGAGGGGGAACGAAAGCATTTTATTTTTTCTCTGACAGATTCCTTGTCAGATTAAGATTCATATACGGGCCTTTCAAACAGTTCAGGGCTGTCTGAAAGAGTCATCAACAACTAGAAGTTACATTGAGTGCTGAAGGTAGTTTAAGACTCCGGCATGTCAAACAAGGGAAATAATTCAACAATCTAAACAATCTACACACCTCTTGAACGCAGCATGAATGTCCTGAAAACTATAGATCGTTAACATCAGTAGTTTAAAAGTTCAGAATCTCAAAGGTTGCAGATTACATTGCAGGTAAAGTTTATGACAGTTGCTAACTTTCTAATGTTGCTCTACCATCACTGCCAGACAGCTAGACTAACCACAGACCACTGCCTTACGCTAACCCACAGCTATCTTTACAAAGTTACTTGGAAAGAAAACCATCTAATCCTTATAAATTAGTTCATCCAAAATAAACTATTCACTGGGTTTGACAAAGTTTGTGGCATCAATTCTTTGAAAGACATTCAATAATCTTTTTAGTTAATGTTTCTTCACGTACTCACAATATTTCATTGTTAAAATTCTTAAAAATGTTACCAGCCAAGTGGCGATTAACATGGTTTAATATACTCGCCACATCGATTTTTACTCACATTTGGTGAATGGTAACTTTAGGCCCGCATATATATATATATGTACATTTATATATTTCTGACATATACATTTATATATATATACATATTTATATTATTGGAAGGCCTTGGAACAGAAGGAGTTAAATTTGCACACCTGTGCCAATTAGTGGCATTAAGGCAGACAAAGGAGGATTCTGGTTGAACAGTGTTTTGTGTTTTGGACGTTGGAAATGCATGGACGCCAGCAGGCATATGGTTTTCAATTTATTTACTTGTTGGTTTATTTATCGAGAGAATCAAATACTATGCTGGAATAAAACGAACAATCTATTGAAACCCCTGAGGCGTCCGAAGTGACTTACTGGAAGGCACTACAATATATATATACACTCACCGGCCACTTTATTAGGTACCCCATGCTAGTAACGGGTTGGACCCCCTTTTGCCTTCAGAACTGCCTCAATTCTTCGTGGCATAGATTCAACAAGGTGCTGGAAGCATTCCTCAGGGAGTTTGGTCCATATTGACATGATGGCATCACACAGTTGCCGCAGATTTGTCGGCTGCACATCCATGATGCGAATCTCCCGTTCCACCACATCCCAAAGATGCTCTATTGGGTTGAGATCTGGTGACTGTGGAGGCCATTTTAGTACAGTGAACTCATTGTCATGTTCAAGAAACCAATTTGAAATGATTAGAGCTTTGTGACATGGTGGAAGTAGCCATCAGAGGATGGGTACATGGTGGCCATAAAGGGATGGACATGGTCAGAAACAATGCTCAGGTAGGCCGTGGCATTTAAACGATGCCCAATTGGCACTAAGGGGCCTAAAGTGTGCCAGGAAAACATCCCCCACACCATTACACCACCACCACCAGCCTGCACAGTGGTAACAAGGCATGATGGTTCCATGTTCTCATTCTGTTTACGCCAAATTCTGACTCTAACATCTGAATGTCTCAACAGAAATCGAGACTCATCAGACCAGGCAACATTTTTCCAGTCTTCAACTGTTCAATTTTGGTGAGCTCTTGCAAATTGTAGCCTCTTTTTCCTATTTGTAGTGGAGATGAGTGGTACCCGGTGGAGTCTTCTGCTGTTGTAGCCCATCCGCCTCAAGGTTGTGCGTGTTGTGGCTTCACAAATGCTTTGCTGCATACCTCGGTTGTAACGAGTGGTTATTTCAGTCACTGTTGCCCTTCTATCAGCTCGAACCAGTCTGGCCATTCTCCTCTGACCTCTGGCATCAACAAGGCATTTCCGCCCACAGAACTGCCGCTCACTGGATGTTTTTTCTTTTTCGGACCATTCTCTGTAAACCCTAGAGATGGTTGTGCGTGAAAATCCCAGTAGATTAGCAGTTTCTGAAATACTCAGACCAGCCCTTCTGGCACCAACAATCATGCCACGTTCAAAGTCACTCAAATCAACTTTCTTCCCCATACTGATGCTCGGTTTGAACTGCAGGAGATTGTCTTGACCATGTCTACATGCCTAAATGCACTGAGTTGCCGCCATGTGATTGGCTGCTTAGAAATTAAGTGTTAACGAGCAGTTGGACAGGTGTACCTAATAAATTGGCCGGGGAGTGTATATATATATTGCAGCCTGTTCCAGACTTTTCTAGTAAGACTAGAAGGCACCGTCCACATCCCAGCACCACAGACTAGGCCTGAATACCAATCTCCAAATCTCTCCTGCTCTACCTCCTATCATTTCCCCCCTCTTTTGCCTCTTTCCTCTGTGCGATTGGCAATTTCTGCTTCTGTCTCAGGGGGTGACTTTTCCGCAAGACCAATTTTGTCCTTGCGCAGGAGTCAGTCACACACACACACACACCTGCTACAGGGGTTTAACCCTCATCAGTTCCTCTGTTCTCTCTCACACTCAGCACAAACTCCCACTGTGGCAATTAGAGAAGTGGTCTTGAGAAAACCCGGAAAGGCGGCACTGCAGGATCCAAATACTTTTCCAGAACCTCTCTTTTTTTCCCTCACAGAAAAGCGAGGAGGCGTAACGTACGAAGAAGAGCGAGTGAGGCTCACCAGGAGGCCAAAAATTTGTAGAGTTAGCCTTACAATGCCCCGGTTCATTCACATTGCCACATTCAGAGTTGAAAGGGAGACTTATTTAAATGATAATGAGGAACAATACATTGGATTTAGTGCTGCAGAGAGAGAGGAGAAAAAATCCATTACACCATCCGCGGTTCATAAGCCATGGGGCTGGGCCACATCTAAACACGCTCCCTTAAAAGCCATTATACGCAGCACTCAATGGATTTGCCTAGCACTTAGGACTTCAAAAAAGGATTAAGATGCAGGCTGGGAGAGAATGAGAGAAAAGCAAACGTGAAAGAGGGAGAAACGGGGCGGTAGGGTGTGCAGGACGGCAGCTGTTTTGGGGTTAACCAAACAACCTCTTTAAAAAGAAATGGGGGTGAACCCGCTTCTTAATCCAAGCCCATTTTCACACTAACTCGAACCCCTTCACCCATCCTCTTGCATCACTCAACACTTCTTGGGCTCCAGCAGATTTGGTGACAAGTGGGAGGAGGCGGATTGTTTAGCTACGGACCAGACTATTGGTTAAGATAGGGCAACGGATGAAAAGAAGCCAATCGGGAAGCAACGGAGCGTGAAGCCAGCGAACAGACGGCTGAGATGCAGTAGGTGTTGCCGGGTCTCTGTGGGCAGCTTCTGTGACATAGTGGGTGGGTTCGAAACTATCAGTGCCATTACCTTCGTTCCTGATCCCCCCCCCCCCAAACGCAAAAACATCCTTGCTGTTCAGAAACACAAAAGCTTCAACAGTCAGTTTAGATATAGCATATTTAAGTTGATGCAAATGATAATGAGATTTAAAAAGACAAAAGTACAATTCAATAAATTGTGTTTTTGAAACATGTCTCAGGCTCACCACATCTGCTTTCATTTGATCAAAAATACAGTAAATAGTCAAATTTTACGATTTTAAAATAATTAATTTATTCTTGTGATGGGAAAGCTGAATTTTCAGCATCATTACTTCAAGTCTTCAGTGTCACATGATCCTTCAAAAATTGTAACATGCTAATTTGCTGCTCAAGAAACATTTCTAATGGCTATCAACGTTAAAACTAATTTTTTTTAAGGATTCTTTGATGAATAGAAGTCCAAAAGAACAGAATTTATTTTAAAAAGAAAACTTTTGTAACATTATAAATGTCTTTACTGTAAATTTTGATCAACTGAATGTGTCCTTGCTGAATAAATGTATTAATTTCTTAAAAAAAACAAAAACGTCTTACTGGCCAAAATTTTGAACAGTAGTGTATATTGAAAGAAAGAATCAAGCTATATCTAGGGACCAGAATGTACTCCAGCAACCACTTAGCAATGCCCTAGCAACCATAAAGAATATAGTATATATTAGGGGTGTAACGGTACACAAAAGTCACAGTTCTGTACGTACCTCGGTTTTAAGGTCAGGTTACAACAGGAAAAATGGTCATACTTAAGATTACGGTTCAATTCTCACTATTAACCCCTAATTACTGCTTATTAGTTAGTAAGGTTGTTAAGTTTAGGCATTGAGTAGGATTAAGGGATGTAGACAACAGTCATGCAGAATAAGGCATTAATATGTGCTTTATAAGTACTAATAAACATGTTGTCCATTAGTAGTGTAACAATTTACTCCACTTAAGCTATATTTAAACATTCAAAGCTTAAGCCCAACCCTCCTATACTTAATTTTCCACAAGCCTTTCAAAGTATACTTTGTCCGTGAGCGCAGAAAGATGCATTCGACGCGTACGCACTATCTAGAGGACTTGTTTTCAAGTGCTTAAGTCACTCGCACATGCGTTGTTCTTATTCTGCTCTTCCTCCTGTTGTGGTGGTTAGCAAACAGCATAGCATTGCTACGTGGCCCCTTCTGGATTAGATTGAGGATCGCCTGTAACTGACTGTATTCACCGAAACCGTGACGTCCATACCATGACGTTTCGGGATGAATACATGTACCGTTACACCCCCAATATATATATATATATATATATATATATATATATCGCAAAAATATGTCTCAGAGCAAAAGCATGACTGTCCTCTTTGTGTGGCAGTCTAACCAACGGAGTGAGCGCACCTCTGTTCTACCCCCAAAAAACTAACCATTTCCTGGATGTAGCATTAATTTCGTTAATGTGACGAAAAGTGTTCGTTGACGACCTTTTTTTTCCATGACGATGACGGTTGTGTCATTCAGTCGATCTGTGTTCAGCTTGCGCTGTTTGCTGCGACTAATCTGCGATCAAACCTTCTCAGTGATGAACTGCAATACAGCAAAACATGGATCTCGACTATAGCCTATGATTGTGGTTGCTGAATAACTGCATTTATACAGCAGTTAAATGCAATGGTTTTAATAGAAAAACATTAAAGTAATTTGGATTTATTGGAATACTAGGAATTTCACTGTTTTCATTTTTGAGAGAAGTCTTTTGTTTTACCACTAGGCCTATATGATAAATAGCCTATAATAAATCAGACTAGATGAGGTCAAATAAACCATGTTAACCACCAATAATTCTGATGAAATGCATTTCTCAAATGACAATAATCGTTATGATTATAATTTTGAGCAAAATAATTGGGATTATCAATTTAACCATTATGCAGCAGGACGAAAATGTGACCAAGTTTTCATTGACGAAAACTAGACTAAACAAATACAGGGCATGGTTGACGAAATATGTCATGATAACTAAAAACTACATTTGACACATGACTACAACTAAATTAAAAAAAAAAGCTGACAAAATGAACACTAATAGAAAGTTATATATATATATATATATATATATATATATATATATATATATATATATATATATAAATAAATAAATATATACATATATAAAATATACCCCTTAAAATCTGAAATCGTCCGTCATTTTGACAGATTACACTGGGGATGATTGTACCTTGTGGATGTAATTATCCCCTCTGTCCACTTGGTGGCGAGAAGAGTGCCAAAACGTTTTTTATTGTTTGAATTTTGTGATAAAATTGACAGACTTTGAAAGCTGAGACTTTCTTTCAAATCAAAAAAGCACAAATCTTATTGCGATTTACTTGACAAACATTCATGATGAAACCTGAAAAGTAATGCAGTCTCGGTTCAATTTTCTCGTAAATAAATAAATGCATAATCTAGCCTATATGCTTGTCCTGTAAGTTTGTGAATAAAAATGAAAATGTGAACAAAAACAGAGCCTATTAAATGGCTTATTATCATTCAAATATGAAAATTAAAATGACGGTTAATAATAGATTATGATGGAAATTTTACGACAATGCGGAAGTCTAATGTGACCTGTGATATATACAGTTATTAATGTATATTAACACATTAACATATTATACGCCGTAAATTAAGTATGCAATTCATAAATGTTGAGTGTGATTAATGTAAACAGTCAGATATATTTAAATCAGGGTCACACTAAAACAACATCAGATACAACTCTGGTTTGTTTAACATCTGATAGTGGCCCAGATCAGAATTGAAAATGTCAGTTGAAATGTCAGAAATGTTCAGTGATGTTTTGGCTGTACAGACTAACATCCAAAAACCAGATGTTTCACCAAAGAAAAGAAGAATTTGAGCCATATTCAGCTGTGATGTGAATGTAGTCAAGCCAGTATGACAAACTGAATATACCCTACTTCAATGTTTTCACTGCCTTGTTTTCACTCAAGTCAAATTAAAGAACGTCTTGTCAGACTATACTCATTAATTCTTAACACACTGTTTCTGTAAAGTTTTCACAAGAGCCAAAGCCATGCTAAGCATGCGGATGCATTACGTTGAAATAGGATCTTAGCAAATGCACGCAGCACTAAAGTGGCAAGCCCCCACATTGGCAGTTTTTTTAAATCACCCTGCGCCTGCCCCCGGTTCTTTGAGACAACGCCATCCCCCTCGTTTGTTTCCATTTCCTTCTGACACTCCAACGACAAAAAAGAAATCCAGTTTTATCCGCCTCTGAAGCGCAGAGATCGTTAGCTAGCGGCGCACACGCCTAAGCGTCTTTGAAGTGGGTATGAAAAGCGCATTTGGTATGCAAAGAAAATTAGCATGTATGGCGAATCACAAGGGAACATTTTTTACACCATTTAACAATGTGACAGTGATGAAAGATGATCCTGTTTACAAAGCTAGCGTTAGCGTGGCGTCCGGGCCTCGTGCGGCAGGACGCAACCGAACGGGCTCTGCAGATCTCTTGCTGTCTTGTGTCTTTCCCTCGCTCCGAGATGGACAGATAGGCCTACAGATGACATGGATATGGCGCTCTGCATTTTAGCACCATTCCTTTGGCAGGAGATTAGAGGGAAATGTCATATCTGGCACTGTCAGCCATTACAGTCTGCAATTTTCTGCAGTCTTTCAGCCCTCCCTCCCTCTCTCTGTCTGCCCGTTGTTCTGTCGCTTTTTGCTGTCAAAACTGTCAGCCTGGATCACGCTTTTATCTGCCTCGAGCTCGTTTCTCGCTCTTCCTCGCTCTCCCTCTCTGACTTTTTCATGAAAAACAGCCTTTTGCACAAATTCATAAATGATGGCAATGAAGGGTGGGAGGGAGGAAAGCGAAGACAGAAATTTCCCCTCCGAATCCTTAACAGCCTAAGCATCACATTTAATCTCTTCATTAAAAACATTTTATTCTTTTCATCATCTTCTCCTCCCTTCATCCTCGGCTCACTGCCTCGCCGTCGCCGTATTACGGATCCATCCGAACGAATTTACAGGGGATTTCGGACACGCGTTTGACAGGCGTGAGTTAGGGACGCGTATTCAGCTAGTCTCGGGGGAATTAGACACAAATTCTCATTACCCCTCTCTCAATCACATTATTTCTTCATTCAAGCACCAACCGAAACCCTACCACTATTTTATCCTCTTCGATATTGCTCTGCATTACTCAGAAACGGCACCAGCTAGATTCTGGGGATTCTTTCGACACTGGTGAGGGAAATGGTCCTAGCTGACCGTGAGTTAACACAAGCTAACTGCTTCTGAAACAAGAGTCGCCTGCCAAAAGAACAATTAGATCAGTGGTTCTCAACCTTTTTGACTCCAAAGTCCACAACAATATTAGAAGGCGCCCTGACTTTGATTTACTGGATAAGGATTTAAAAGGAAACATTTACTCACAATTTCTTTTCATATCTTTTTTTTTACATTTGTATAACTGTATACAAGCAATATATATAAGATATCATCACACTTTTAACATTAGGATGTATCCAGATTTTTTAATACTGTGGGAATCCTAGTTCCTCACCAAAAAAAAAAAAAGAACCGCTCCATTAGATGAACGAGAGTTATTCTTCTTTGAGTGTAACCATACATGCGTATATCTGACCATAAAACCTGTTTTCAAACAGTTTATCACAGAAATTATTTTAAAATTAATTAATTTTCACTTTGTTTTTTTTAAAAATATAAAACAAATATATCAGAGAATACAATTTAAAAAATAAGATTAAAATAGAATTGATTATGTGGAGGCTAAGCCCATATAAGATGTTTATTGCATTTCAGCTGGTTTTGAAAACAACACACAGGAGAGCACATATCTTTAAGGAAAGCAATATGTTTGCTGCGAGTGACAAATGGCTGCAAGACAGAGAAATGTATGTGCGTACGCACCTGTTATGTATCCAACAGGCATTTTGCTTGAAAACCTTTTCTACACACATGCAAGTACTTGGCTGGTAAAGGCCAAATGGACCTCTCCTATTGGTTGTCATGTTTACCGACGTCATAATGACACACTTCATTGTGCTTACCTCACTGAGTCGATCTTTAGAGCTGCTCCTGGGTGCTGTTTTCACCTCCGTCTCCTCCATTTTCCTCCCAGCCTGGCTCAGAAGACTCAGAGACTAGAGAGAGCAGAGAAGAAAAATGACACTTTAGAATTAGGACAAAGCTTTATTTGGCTGTTGTAACCCTTATGAAAACAGCTGATCAAGAAACCACTGTAAAATGATGCACTTGTATCCTCAAGCAGAGCCATGTTCTCTAAGCGAGACAAAGTCTTTGGTGGGCTGGACACTATGAGACAACACAAAGACTTCAAAGAAACACAATATTCTAATCGACTGTCAACTAAGCAAATCTGAAAGGTGATTCTTTTGTCTGTTTGCTTTGGAAATTTTAGGCCCTGCTTCCCAAGAGGTGTCTAGTTGTGTCTGGAACCAGGGCATTGTTGCCTTACTACTGTTATCCGGTGCACTCAGAGCATTAGCCCGTGAAAACCCAAGGGAAACCCAATGTTTGACTGGAGGGCATGTGAAGGAGGTGGTTTTTTTTTGCTGAAACAGTGAAATGTAGGCAGCTTTATGAGCTCCTGCGATGAGATTGATGGAAAAGCAGAGTCCCTGTTTGGCCGGCATTTGAAGATCCACTGATTTGAATGCATGCAAAAGGACCAGAGCTCACCTGAAAATGACATTCACTGACCCTGTAGCTGGTTTAGATGGCCATCTGCAGATAAGGATACATGTGAAATGATGCAATAGACCTTATTCACAGCAGTGCCATCTTTTATTTTTAAAGGGTCATGAAACCCTAAACCAAATTTTCTGAGATTTTATCAGAGGTATGTGTGTTGAACACTATTGAAGACAATGTTAGCATCTGTTAGATTTAATAGTAGGGTGAAAATGGTTAAATTTTAGTTTCTTTCCGCTATTTTCGTCTTCCGGGTTTAAAATCTTCATCGCAGGCTGTGACGTGGCAGTGCACAGTGTAGTGAGTTGATGACTCATCGGTGTCTCATAATTATTAATGAGACTGAGTTTTCATATCCTATGAGAAGACACGGTCTCTTAATTATTCATGACACCACGTGGATCTTTCCACAGACATGTCAAACTGTGATATCGCGTAGTAGATGAGAGAGGCAATCATGGGACGCACGCAAGTGTTTGTTTTCGTGGTCCAAAAGTCCAATTGGGTTGAATATGTTTCCCCGCGATGCTGCCCGGGCTAGGCTCTGGCTCCGGGCGGTTGGTTTTCCATCAACCACGGACACATCTAAACGTGTGTGCCGCAAACATTTTTGAGCTTCGAGAATTGGAGAATGGTGGACTTCGCCTTGTTGACAACCAATGCAGGTTGCGCAGTCTTGCGAGTGATGCGGTACCAAGTCCCGAGGACTTTTCTATCCCTTCAGAGGTGTGTGTGTGTGTCTAAAATGAGAAGTCATCCACCTCCACAGAGCCATCTTTATTATGGGGGTTCAGGGGGTGCGTAGATCTAGGCTATGCACGGAACGTTTTTTTTAAGCGGAAAATTAATCATTTTCAAATATATGTATAGTGTCTATAAACAACTATATATTTTATAATGACATACTAATGTAGGCTACATGTATAACTATAATGTTCTCAATAGAATTACGATTACTGTAGGCTTACCAGGCTAATATAGGAGGGCATTCAGTTACTTTTGAAAGGACAATAATAGTGTCGTATTTCATAAGACTTTAACTTTGCCAGCTATAAATAAAAATCTAGCATTTCCTCACGTTTTACCACTGCTTTTAGTGACAGTCGATATGCATGGGATACTGGCGATGACAGTGATGGCCTTACCACACCCCTTCTCACAGCCATCCACGCCCATTTAAGTTGCATTTTTCAAAAAGATTGTGAGCTAGACTTGAGCTGAAAGAGGGGGGTTTCATGACCCTTTAAAAGGAATGCAAGTGAGGCTGTGAGGGATAGACATGCAACTCTTCAGTGGGTTGGACTGTTATTTAACGTATTTTTGGATTGTTGAACACTGCAAAAATAACTTTCCAAGAAATTTCAGTAGACAAAAAACTCCAGACAACATGAGCTATGGAAAATGAGTGATCAATCAACGTCAACGTCAATGATGAGCTTAATACAGCTTTTTACAGCGGATGCCATTGAAAACACGGTAAGCCTATTCCTCACAGGCTCGCTTTCATTCCTGTCATGGCGCTGCTCTGAATAAGGTCTATAGAGATAGATCTGTATTTTTTCTAAAGGCTAGGCCAAATCATTTTCATTACTTTAGCTTACATGATAGTATACTATTCAAGTGTACAAATCTAATATTGAACAGATAAGCATGTGTACATCAATATATGAATCTAGTTCTATATACTATACATGCATGAGAGTATGTGCAAGTTTGTATGTTTAGCAATACTTTGTCTCCATAAGTTAGCTAAACCTGATCTTGGGACATCTTCAAAAGTACGACAAATGTAAGTTAGTACAGCTAGAATGCTGTATATGTCAGTTTTATACAGTACATGCAAGTATGTGAATGTGTGTGTGTATTACTCCAGCAACTCTTGTGTGTGTGTGTGTCCCAAGTGGCTTGCAAGGTCTTGGCCCCAGTCTCCAGATCTCTACTCTAATTTAAACAGATCACTGCTACAATTAACCTTTCTGCTAAATATCAATTATAGCCCCAGGCAGAGCAGAATTAAAATGGTCATCAGCTAGTCTGACAGGTCCTGCATTCTGCCACCACCTGGTCATCGTTTCCCCGATCCCTTCTTCCCAGCAGACGCACACAAGCCCCATTTAATTACCAGAGCCAATACTGAGCCAGCGCTGGAACAACACTGTGCCAGCGCTGGATGATTGGCGCAATGAATTACCATTCAGTTGAGGTCAGAAGTGAAAAACACTGGAGTGATGCGACCTAGGCAAGACGCTGGCACTATGTTGAGGATTTCCAAAAAAAGAGCTGCAGGTGGGCCTAATCAAGTCAGAGTAATTTGCCGTAGTCAAGACAGGGGCTCGATTCTGTCAGAAAAGCTGACAAGCTAATCAATCCCGCTATCTCAACGTAATCGGCAGGGCTGCTTAGAGAATCACAGAATTGCTTGTGTGTGTACTTGTAAAAGCAGGCAAAAAAAGCAGGGGTCTCTGTGTGTGGTGTGCCAAAACCTGGTTTTGATTTGTTTACAGAAGACAATATGAAAATGAATGTTTTCAAAAATACCATTTTCACTGATGGGGATACAGAATCCTGATTTTGGACTTTTTTTTATGTATACTTTGTGCATTTTGTGAGACCTTACATCAAATAAACATGGATTTTATTCGGTTAGCATTCTCAATGTCTCAATGGAGATAGTTGAAGGTTTTCCAGGTCTACCCCTGAGAGACAAAAATCATGCAAAGTGTTTGAAATGCACTTTAGTACTCCAGTGATTGTGTTTTCTTCTAGTTACGGATTCATGTCTTGTTTAGAAGAGGAACAAGGTCAAACACACTGACTAAGAATCTGTTATCGACACTCTCTCAAAAAGTCTGAAATATGTCAAGAATTCAAAAACAACATGGTCAAATTATATTTACATAATGAACAACCCTAGTCTTATTGGATCCAATTTATCACAGCACATTATTCTAAAGAGGAAAAAAAAAATGTTTCTTTTATTGGCTATAAAATTTATTGGCTGCAAGGGTGGCAAAGCAATATTAACCACAACCAGTACGTCACAATCCAATCAAATCTGCAATAGTCAGATTTACTCTGACTAGGGGTGTAACGGTACATGTATTCGTATTGAACCGTTTCGGTTCGAGGCTTCTGGTTCGGTGCGCATACAAACCGAACGATTCCTTGGACCATTTTTCCTGCCGACAAAATTTGCGCTGGCGCGATCACCACAACAATGCGCAACATCAAATGGCAAGCGTAATGATAGCGGAACGAAACTGCGCTACTCCTTATATTGTGCTTCACGGATCGTTTATAAGTTCGGACCAGCAACATCTGTGCAGCGCGAGCCGATCTCGATCAAGCGACACTGTTACAACCGTTACAACACAGCGCTAAGAGATCCAGTGAAGAAAACATTTAAATTCGCCACTGAAGTAATAACATCGCTGCGAGATCTAGTGAGAAGCATTCACATTTCTCCATTATTAACCGTAGATCTCTATTAGATCAAACAGCGCTGACGTGGACACCAGGAGAAACATTGTGCCGTGAATGATCTAGTAATACTTTACCTCCACAGACCAGCAACATTCACCATGGATTTAATATAGTAACACTAACTGTAACCAGTTTGGCTGGAATAGTGAAATGCTTTCAAGTACTTACACATCTTTTTCCAGCACTTCAAAACTCAAATATTATATAAATAAATATATGAAGAGTTCAGATGCAAAAGCCTCTAAATGCCATTTGAAAATTTCTTCTAGAATGATCATTTTTATGAAGCTTGTATATTTAAGTTCAGTAATTTCACTCAAATGACAATTAATAGGTAATCTTCATTGCCATTTAAGTGAAATTACTGAACTTAAATATACAAGCTTGATAAAAATGATCATTCTAGAAGAAAATTTCAAATGGCTTTTGCATCTGAACTCTTCATATATTTAAATGTTATTTTTAATGTGATGATGACCAAAACATTATTTGTTCATCCTTCAAAGATGACACCCATTTATAGACCTGAAAGTTTCAAGATGTAGGAAAACTCACACTTATTTAAAAAATATTTTTTTCTTTTAACAAATAGGAAATTCTCTGGCATTTCTTACTTTTTGCTGTATCGAAAACGTACCGAACCGTGACTTTAAAACCGAGGTACGTACCGAACCGTAATTTTTGTGTACCGTTACACCCCTAACTCTGACTATGAAATATGTTGTCTACAACAGCAAAGGGTTGTACATACTATAGGAAGAAGTGAAGTTAGACACTTTATACACTCAACTGCAATAGTTTCCATATGTAGCGGAAAGAGCTAAACATACTAAAGCCAACATCACATTGTGCGCTTGAAACTACATTTCCTTCAACTACAAAACTTCTAAAATTCAAACACTAGATGGCAGTACATAGTTTATAGTGCAAGTACACAATAAAGTAC